GGAATCATAGTGATGTCTTCTGCACATTGATTGAGACTAACAAACGTTGGAAGATTTTTGTTGAACGAATGAATTACGAATCTCCGATGTTGGCAATTTTCGTAGCATATCATATAATTCTAACAAAACTATACACCGAAAGGTCCAAAAGTGGCGGCTCTCAAACGCAAAACACAACAAACGAAAGAACAAGAAAATTTCATGAGCCATAGGATCCCAGTCCATGTCACGACAAAAAATAAGTAAACTTCTCGACCACCAAAGAACCTTTACCATTAAGAACCTCAACACTAGCACCTGAAACAAGAAATAACACAAGTTTAAGAGTTGCAAATGAACAGCGAGTAAGATCACACAGCCTTTGAGTGACGTAAGAGAGCAATTTAGATGGAAGAATTAGTGTAGGTACATGTTATAGAGGCGGCGAGGCAACCAGTCTGCAGTTGAGCATAATGTGAAACCGCGATATTCTCCTCTCCTTTGAGATTTCGCTGACTCTTTGAAGCATACGTCCCTTTGGATTTGGTTTCCTCTGTTTGCTTCTATAGAAGAGATCTGATGTGTTTGCTACATACTTCACCTACAGCAGTTGAATCATTTGGAAGTTTCATTCATCCGCAAATATACATTTCAGACGGCAAGTCTTTCTCAACACACATAATTTCATTATCTATTGTACCTTTGAAGTACTGCAAGCCATCTTAGATTCCATCCCGTTAATAATATTCACTCCTTCCGTTGCAACAGGCATCCCTGAAGATTCATCTAAACCTCTGAATTTCTCCTTGTTCCTACAGAATTTACTTCAACATTACAGCAGAACCAAAGAATACATATATATATTCATATACTGTCATCATGCTTCCTCCACCTTTTCAGAAACAGTCCGTGCTTCTCTTCATCATTGACGGATGTCAGAAATTCATTTTGCAGATAGTCTGCAAAACCCGGCTCCATCGCTGCACCCGTTTTTTCAGGATGATTGTTCCAGCTGTTCGTAAGCTGAATTGAGAGACAGGTTTCTGCCGACGACTGCAATCAGTTCCAAAGTAATATTAATACACTATGGATTTCGAATGGACAAAGATGTAAAGTTTAAGAGAAACCTACATATCTGATTCGGTATATGTTTGCCTCATGGAGGAGGGCACGTGCATTCTCATGATATACTAGATCAAAGAATCTTTCCGGTTTTCTGTACTTCTCATATGCATATAGTTGCAGAAGCTTGGTGTCTGTCTCATCAGCTGCAACCGCATGGAGCTGAAGCATATCCAAACCTTCCCAATGATCAGGAAAGAGAAGAAAAAAAGAGAGAATGGACACAGTGAGTCAAGAAGACAAGAAATTAGTTTTGCTTACATGCTTAACAAACTTCTGAACTAGCTTGTCCAATGTGAAAAGAACATATGCCTGTGCTCCAAAAATAGCTCGGCATTCATCTTCAAACTTTGTATTGTCACTAGAGCCATCAAGTAAATTATAGAGTGCATCCATGAACCTAAAAGTGTCATGCTTCCAAAAATCAGAATCGAACCGTCTTTCAATACAAAGTATTAACTTCGAAGATAAACCTCACCTCGGATATGCATCAGGAGTTGAGTTATCTGGAGCCTTCCACTTCTTTTCTGAATGTTTCTTTGCCGATTGTATCCTCTCGTACAACATCTGGAAACCAGCAGAAGTAGATAGAAATTAGCATCGGACGAGAAACTCAAGAAGCTTGTTTCAAACAGTCCTTACTTGATGAAGCCTAAATAGCACATAATAGGAATCATTCCCATAAAAAACTCGAGAATCATTCCGGGAGCCAGTTTCAGTAGCTTGCAATGGCCAAGAGACATGCTTGGCAACAGGTTTTACAGTTTGCAGAAACCGTTCTGAAAATTCAAAGGATCCATCTTCAACTTCGTCATGCTCTTCATGGCAGCCAAACTTAGTTCCTAAAACAAGCATTTCAGACACAGTCTCATTATCCTCTGATAATTTGTGACAATTTTCTTTTTTGTCATCTTCAGCATGAGCATTGCTCTTTGCTCCTGTTTCAGTACAATATGAACCCTTTTTATCACAACTTTGTTGGTCTTTCCTGCTTCTAACATTGTCCATCATCTTTTGTGAAGGCTTGAGGCCATTCTGTCCATTAACCTCAAAGTTGCCTTGCTCACAACTGTCGGTGGGAGATAACTCACCCTCTTCTCGCTCAACCTCATGCTTTTCCACTGACACTTCGTTACTTTTATGATTCCCTGCATCCTCCATTATCTGATAATTTCTGGGCGACATCAGTTTGGAAGACTGGATAGCCTGTAGACCATGAACCAAAATTAGGCTTATATCAACAAAGTCTCATAAATAAATAAAGTCATGACTGGTCTCTATTGATCGCGCATCAAGGCATCAAATTGGTAACTAAGGAATGAACCTTTTTATTTAATTTTATCACAAACGAAGTGCATACGACCTGAGTTTAAAAACAACTCTACAGAAGGAGTTACCTCAGTAGTCATTGGTGCATCATTCTGCACTTTATCGTGCTGAACTGTTTTCACTGTATTGGCGGATACATCTTTCCCAGGAGAGCTTCCTTGCACTCTTGGATTATCTTTGTTCAGCAGTTTTGGGGATACTGGATGTTTACAGTTTGACCCAGAAGCGGTGCCCTTCATTGCCATGCGTGCATCATGCAATTCTTGGTTGTTGTTTTCCAACTTTGACACATCTTCCATAGCCAGGTTACCTTGAGACCTCGAAAATATGCCAAACATGGGCTCCAAAAAAGTTATCCACAGCTTCATTACCTTATCTGATTGTTCAGTCGCACATATTTCTTCACAGTAATACTTGATTAACAGATATAGGTCCTCGTGAATTTGTGTATCACAATAATTGAAGTCCAAATCCGGAGTAAAAGAGGGCGCAGTTTTAACAGCAATAGCTTGAAGTAGATCTTCTTGCTGCTTTTTCTCACTGATATCTTTAATTTCTGCTACTAACCCTGCATTTAAGGACACAATGAAACAACGGCATTGATGCAAACTGTAACTCCAAAATAAAAAATAAGTACAAAATCTGGGCTTAATCTACTCTCATGATCAGCAATCTCTTTTAAACAAATAAAATCAATTTTTCCATCCTTTCTTCAATCACGAAATAGAGAAAGAAGTTGCTAATGAATTAGCCCTACATTTTTCCACGAAAATGCAAGTGCAGCCAAACAAAAGAAGTGGTTTCATCAAACCTAAAGTAGGTTGGAGATCTTCACATAATGAACTTATTAGGTAAAAATTAGATAAAAAAAGCTTACATTTTGTGCTCAAGTTCTTAGAGTCCTGCTGCTTGAAATAGAAACTACGATGATCTAGTGACTTATGGTGATTTTTAGCATACACTTCGGCCCAAACTTTCTGAAAATCAGAGTGGCATCTTGCCCATTCTTCTTGCTTCTGCTTCAAGCGTGTCAGTATCACCGGTAAAGCGCTGTGCATATTCTTCTTCAAAAGATCCATGACATCAAGCCCATTATCACCATACAACCGCTCAATGCATCTTAAGTTCATAGCTATAGATACAGTCCCAAAGAAAATTATTAGCAAACATAAATGAAGGATAGACAAAATATAGCTACACTAGAATTGTTCCAAACTAACGACTTACCTGATAAGTGTTTTTCAATACATATTGGAGTGTCTATTGTGATTGTGTTGTCGTTGATTTTTTCCAGAAGAATCTCCACGTGTTTAATCGCTGAACTTACAGATCCTAGTAACATGTCCATTTCATACCTGAACACACATTAGAAATGTTAAAACAGAGGAATTCTATTACCAATAAATAGATCACCATTTCTCCATATGATAGATATCCAGACAAACTAAATGAAAGGCGAGAAGTCCCAACCATAGAGAAGATAAACTTAAGCATGCCAAAGTTATAGGAAAAAATCTATATGGATATAGAAAGAGAATACAAAACCTACTCTACTGTATATACCAAGTGCATTAAGGAGATTTGTCATCAAACTACCAGATCATACCTGTCATCCTCACACCGAAACAAGCTTTCTTCATACTGGTTTTTGCGCATATGACTAAATGAATAATCTTCACTCCCTGAGGTGACAGATACCAGGTGGTCATTAAGTGTCTTTTTACCTAGTGTATTTCTGTAGCTTGGAATCTCAACTGGGTACTGCAAGGGCAAAGACCAACCATATAAGAGAAGGGAATGATGCAGTAAATTGCAGTGTAGTAGAACAATATTATTAAGAAAAAAGAGGCACTCACATCCTTTGGCAAGAGTCGATAACTTGGGGTACACTGAGTGCATTCAGAAAGATCAAGTTCATTAATAGGTGTTCCCACATACTTGGAAGCTGCACTTTTTTCAGTTCTATCTGTATCTCTTTCAGGATCTTCTCTATTTTCATAATCTTGAATTCCCCCATTGTCCTCTGCATTCAAGTATCCTGGCTGACCTTCTTTAACTAGGGAGTCTGCAAAAATTAACTACTTTACTACCAGATATAAACTACTGATCTCTTAAGCAATTAACAGAGACAAGATTGGGCATTCACAGTATTCAAGACGAAGATACGTAAACATGGGATTCTGCAAAAAGTTAACATAGTTGAACCTCAGACCCAGATACAAACCACTGACTACTTAAGTCATTAACAGAAAAAATCGACCATGGTCACAGTATACAAGATGAGGATACGTCACAGACAGATATCACTTGCTTGGTTATATCGAATTCACTAGATAATGAAAAACATCTACACAATCATAACGCTGAACAATAGAAGCAATGTAGACAGAAATATAACAGGCCATCCAAATACTCACTTCCCTGAGAATTGCCAGCAGAGCAAGCGACAAGGTTCTCATCACCATCTTCTCGTTGATCAGAGTGTTCAGAATAATCTTCGAGCTTACAGCCTCGTTTTATTTTCTGTGGCAAATAAGAGTCTATATCAACATCTCACACAAAATCTGAATCATCAAGTTCCCTATATAAATACTGTATCATAATGCATGTTTTATCTTGATCTTAATTTATCACTCTTAAGACAGTGGATGACATGAACATCCATTAAAAACATGAACATTCGATAAAAACATTACTAACTGCGCAACAGATATTGCTATCCTTTACAAGGATGAAGAACAGTAACCTTATCAGAATGCATGGCAGGAATTGGAGTTCGCTTATGACGCGGTACTGCATTCCTTGGAGAAGCTGATTCTGAACAATTAGGTAAGAAATTAACAAACTCCACGAGCAGATCTTCATGGCCCTTGAACAACTTAGTAACCTACACAACAGACGATGATCAGAGAAATACACTAGAACTGTTGCTCTAACATATAAACTGTGAAGCAGAAAGTTTAAAGAATCAACCCCCTAAACATACCTCTTTGTAGACATCAGATATGGACTTTCTTTGCTTTCGATACATGTTCAAGATGTCTAGAAACCTTTTATACGCATGTTCATCAGTTCCGAATCTCTCCTGCAAAATTAGAAATTCAAGTAAACATTAACTGATAGAAATTCAACACTACTTTTGTATGTGATTTACCACATCACATAAATACCTTAATCTTGGTGACGAAACCGATAGCATCTTTGTAATCCACCCGGATCTTAGGTTTCTCTTCCTCGGGCAGAGTTATTTTATACCCTTGGGGTAAGAAAGTATTAAAACCTAAAAGTAGGTCCTTGTAACCCTTGAACAAATCTTTTATTTCACCAATGACACCTTCAGTGTCGATTCTGCAACCAACACAAGACACCATGAATATACACAGTTCACACTGTGACACAACGAATTCCTTCTGTAGCCTCTATAAGAAAGACAAAAAGACACTAAATTGGAAGAGAAGGTATACCTCTGAGCTTTAAAGTCCTTCATGAGCTCAAGGAATTTCTCGTATTTCTCTTTATTGTCATGAAATATGTCCTTGACAGCTTTAAGATAATGCAGGGCATCAACTGTGGTTAATTTCCCCTTGATGGTTCGAGGTTGCCTGTTTCTGCATTGCACAAACACATGTAAACTCACTTTCAAACATTGCAATCTCGTCTTTAACACCACCAAAAACAGCTTAGTTCATGAAAGTTACAATAAACCCAAGAACAATTACAAACCTCAACCTGTAAACAAATCAATCCCAGGTAAAGAAACATTAACATCCCAAAACAAAATTTCTGACTTCCGAACAAAAGCAGAATTTGAAACGAAGACGAAACAAAAATTGGGAATAGAGAGAGAGTTACGTTTCTCCTGGAGACGAAACATCAGACATTCTACGCTTTTGGGCTTCATTGTAAACA